GGCCATGGAAAACACACTCTGTACACATCTCTGTATCGTCAATTACAACTAATCAGCTTATTACAGCGTTATCGAGTGAAAAAGAAAGACCTAGCGATCGCTATCTTGATTTACAATACACATCTTACATACTACTTGTAAATTAGCTATACAACAAAGAAATATTTGTACAATTTACCTAGATTTTTTTCTTATGAGGGAATGTTATTTGTGATATTAGCAGTTGTTTGCAGTAAAGCAAAAATCCTTTTAATAATACATAAATAAATCAAATAAAATGTATAATTTTTCTGTTACAGTTTTCAATGTGCTTTGTGAAATAAGACTGCAAACTAAATAAATTTAATTGCACAAAATAATCTTCACAAAGATTGTATATGAATTATACATTTTTCTGTAGAAAAAGTTGCCTCTTAAGACATGCTTACTTTTTGTTCTCGTTTAAAATCAACATTTCGTAAATTCTATGCGTGTTCGATATTATGACCTTATTTGCAAATACAGTCTATCATTGGGTCGTATTTTGACTAACATGTTTCATACCAATTGTTAGTCCTTTGTTTTTTAAACTAAATTCGACAACGGATTATTCTGTGTATCTGACGGGCACACGGCGGTTGTGACCGGTCGACAGGGGATACTTTTTCACCTGGTTCAATATCTGGAACCTCTGGGTCCGTGTTTTATGCACCGTTTATATATTTGTTTTGTTTTATCTTTACCTTTTTGATTTTTCAATATCTCCTTAATATATACACAATTCAAAAGTGTTTGAAGAAAAATTCTGGTAATGAATCCTTTTCAAAGTATCATATACTGAAAGCGTACTTTTTCACGGGGTTATAATTCCACGGAATCACAATTTCTGTTTAATCTGTAGGAAGAAAATTACGCATAATGTAGATTCCTTATTTTTCGCGATTACTTATTATCGCAAAATGTCTATTTGGCGTCAAATCGCGAGAACAATAATTCGCGAGTACACGGTTCATCAACAGATTTTACATTGATTTCAGCACCATAAAAATAAAAGCGAGTAATTTTATTTCGCGAGTGGTGCTTCTCGCGAAATTACGCGATAATTAATTCCTCGCGTATATTTAGGAATCTACTGTATTTCTAAGATTGCCACTATATGCCTTAATGTATTTTAAGTACGCTGGGACAAATTTCCGCGGGAAATTTGTGACCACGTACATAGCGTAAATTAATACCACGAGGAAAAAGTATTTCTACAGTAATAAATTTATCTCGTTATAGATACAACTGTAAATTTATATTTTACTAGAATAAGTTAATTCATATTTCAATCCCTCTACAGTTAATTGTCACAAAATGATTTTCGTCTTCTCTCTTCCTTTGCCATTTGAATTTTCTAATGAGAATATGGCCTTGAATCAAAATCCTATACCCCTGAAAATTTTAGGTCTTATATTAAAATGGAATAATCGCTGTATTATGGCTTGTTTTGACTTAATTATATAATTTTCCATTGAAGTTTTTGTACGCTAGTTCCCAGATAGGGCCTAACCATACATTTATTTGAAAAAAAAAGCGACAAGCTTCAAATTTCGATATATCGAAATGAAATATCAAAATACTGTGGGGAAAAATGAAACAATGGTAGAAAATTCAAGGTCATTTTGGAACAAAAATACAGAATTTCTAGAGTGAGAATTTCATGTTACACGCAAAGCTCTTCTCTGGAAAATAACTGAATACATGTATAGCTATTAGCCAGCTGCAATGTTCTTTCAAAGTAAAATGTAGTTTTAAAATTTAGTTTTTCTGTATATAATCATAATGTACATTGAAAACTTGAGAATAAAATATTTTAAGTCATCTAATTATATCAATTAATGCCGTTGAATACTCATTTCTAATTGCTACTGGTTCGAGTAGTTGCAGAATGTCATATTGTTATATTTACACAAGAGTAATAGAACGTTCAAATGTTGTTTACTTACTTACACTTGACTTAACCGAATGAGAAAAACAAGAATTTACATACTGCATATACTTTAAAGGATTATACCCCCCCCCCCCCGATGGAGTGTCAGTCCGTCTATCCGTCCATCCGTCCGTCCGTTACGCTTTGCGGTACCAATCTCTTATCCGCAACTCTTCCTATGCCACTGAATAAAATTTAATTAAGACTTTCACAGAATCTTTATTACATGATGCCATTGTGACCTCCTATTTTATTTTATGATACATATATTTCAGGTTTAACATATTAAAATATGAACACTGCCAGCCTTTCTATATTATCGAGGGTACCCATTTCTTATCCACAACTCTTCCTCTAAAACTGAATAAAATTTAATGATACTTTCACAGAATCTTTATTACGTAGTGCCTTTGTGCATCTCCTTCTTTATGTTTTGATTGGACAGATATTTGGGCTCTTCATAGCAAAAAAAACAGACTTGCCATTATACTCCTGTGGGAGAGGAGGTATCATTTATGAGCTCAATACTCACAGTACTTCTAGTTTTCTATTCTTTTTTTGCGATCAGTTCATTTTCAGTCATTGATATGACAAAAGTGCTTTTAATGACAATTTGCATATGATATTGTTATTAAATTTCACTGTTGATTTATGTATAAATTTAGTCACTTCTTTCGTAAAAACCGTCACGGTAGCTCAGTCGCTTCGCCCTTCGCTTCGTGATCGGAAGGTCGTGAGTTCGAATCTAAGCCGCGACTGACCTAAGTTGATGAAAAATAGGTAGCAACTGTTCCTTCCCGCCATGCACTCGGCACTTTGAAGTGAAAGTTGCGGGTCCTTCGGATGAGACTTTAAAAACCGAGGCCACGCGTCACGGCAGGCGTTGGCACGATAAAGATCCCTCACTGCTCAATGGCCCTGAGTGCCGAGTAAGGTCTAAATTTGAAACCCTTAACCGGTATATGGTGACGTCTCTATATGAGTGAAAAATTCTCGAATGGGACGTAAAACAATATACAATCAATCAATCTTTCGTAAAATTTGAATGAAGGCTTTACGAATGATTGTACAGTGAAAAAATTGTATTTATTTTAATATTTATTCAATGACATGGAAACTCAAATATTATTAAGATATCATACTAAGAATATGGAAAATACATGCTTACATTAAAAGAAAAATAAATGAAACAAGAAGTCTGTGAGCCAATGCTCACTAGAAATACCCCCGCTTTGATGTGTATGTACACAAGTTCAGTTATGGACAGACACAAGGATGAACAAGAAGTTTACATCAGATTCGTAGAAAAATGAATCCCACCATATTGCAGGCCTAAACAAAGAGTTAAATTTCAAGCATCTGCAATTAGTAGTTGCTGTGAAAACTGCTACCAAAATTTGTTCTGTATGGTACAGACAGACGCATGGATAAACAGGAAGTTGGCATTGCATTTGTACAAAAATGATTCCCACCTTATGGCATGCCTAAACAAAGAATGTGCTAAAATTTCAAGCATCTGCAATCAGTAGTTGCTGAGAAAACTGCGACCAAAATTTGTTATATATGGTACGGACAGACGCACGGATAAACAGGAAGTTGACATCGGATTCGTACAAAAATGAATCCCACCATATGGCATGCCTCAACAAAGTGTGTGCTAAAATTTCAAGCATCTGCAATGAGTAGTTGCTGAGAAAACTGTGACGAAAATTTTGTTATGAACAGACAGACACACAGACAGACAGACAGATAGACACACAAGGGTAAAACAGTATACCCCCTCTCCTTCGGAGCGGGGGTATAAAAACCATGTTTAACTTTTGATATGTTAATGAAAGGAAATATTAAATAACTTTAATTACAACCTGATGTTTTAAACATTAACATGTGTTGCAACTTGCAACACATGCAACATGTGTTGCTGAATTTGAATTACACGGTGAACAAACTTTGAGACTTGAAAAGAAAATGTTGATGTGCTCAGAAAAATTATCATAAAATTTAACTTCTTGCATACACCTTTCTTCATCTCTTCTAAATTAAATGAGTTGTTGCAACACTCAGAGCAGTTTCTTTTTAATTCCTTGACAAATAAAAAGCCATTTTTCTTCATATCAAAATTCAATATTTATTTATCTTTTCACCGATTTCAATTAATTGTTTTGGATAATTGTAACAAAGATTCTTATATACAGAAACAAAAAGCTCGTAAAGGAAAAGCTCACAAAGTAAAAACAGGGCTTTTTTCCACAGCAATAATTTCCAAGTTCTAGTGAACGCATGCTTGTGAAATTTTTTCATACTGTATTGAATTCCAAATTTGAAATTTGAATTAACTATTGAAATCAGAACAATGCAGAAAAATATCTTTTAAAGTAGTGTGCATTGAATTCATACTGTAAAAGTGGTTATTTTCTCGTCTTGTTAATTACTCGATTAAGTAGAAAGCACATTACAAACAGGAGTCATGTCCGCGATACCGGAAATGTGTACTGTTAAAACTGAATATAATATGTATAAATGCATTGGTATGCAGGAGGATATTTTCAAAAAATATATCCTATCGCATATTAGAGTAAATTATCCCCATGCATAGATTTCCAATTTTACAGTACTCCGTTTTTAAGAAATATCTTCATTCATGTTTCCTCATGCTGCACAATCTCACTGCAGCTCTGATTTTGCTGATTTATGATCTAAGAAATCAACACCAATGTAGACATGAAATATTTCATTTATTAAAAATGACGAAAATAAGAAAAATATATACATGTACGTAATATGATAGGGGATCAGACCAAAAGGTATTTGCATAATACATATATCAATATTCTGATCCCCTAAATTTACAAATAAACAATACATGTATATGCAAATATATAAAACATTGAGTATACAGCAAAAAGATGGCACATCAAAAATAAAAATGCTATCAAATGTTATTGCCGAACATAATTTGGCAATCACATTGTGCCATTCATGTTTTAAGAAATATCTTCATACTGTTTATGTTGATGAATAATGAACAATATCTTTTTTCTGATCTTAGGGTCCGATGGTACGATACAGACTGCAATGCAAAGAGTGCCTTGGCTGCTGCCGTAGACGCAAAATCAAAATTTGACCCGCATCTTTTCCTTGGACCACCATGCTCAGCCGGTAAGTTCATTTTTAACTTTGATTTATCCATAGTTTTCTTATAAAAAGAAAGCAAGGAAACAAAAATAAGAAATATGAAGAAAATTATGTTATTAAAAGCCATGATGTTTTAAAATAAAGTTTAAAAGGTATAATCGAGTATTTAAAAAAAAATCCAAAGTTAATGATAAACATTATGTGTGTGTTGGATCTGTTTGATTGAATAGCGCAGCACAACTAAAGCTTATGTAATTTGAAAATTCGCGTATTCCAAATAAACAAATGCTCGCTTGAATGTCGGACGACCTGATATTGCACCAAAGTATTGCCCTCGGGCTCCATTCGTCAAAAAACCTGAGGTAAAGTTTTAAGTCAGTTGCTTAACAATTCTTTGACAACATGTAGAAAAGTATGCAAATAAGCTCTCAATAATGACCTAAATTGCCTATGTGTTATAAGGTGAATATTAGCAAAATTGTCTCTAGTCTTCTTATTGTTCTTGTAATTCCAAATACTAAACTGAATAAAAGATGGAAGGTAAAATGGCATAATTATACATGTTAATGTACTGCAACTGAAGTCACCATACGTTAATAAATCACTTACTTAAAGATAACAATTTTTTTAATTGATACCTCTTTTAGTATATTTACCTAATCAAATTTTCCGAGTGCAATTTGAGATACATTGTTCAGAAATCTCTACTTAATACTTTTTTGATTAAAAGGGTTTACGAAAAATGTAGTGCGTACTTAAATCTTTAAATGTTAAAATTTAGATATTGTTCATAATATAATGGGGAGAAAAGTGTTTGTACAAATAATTCTGGAAGAACTACACTCCACCAGTATTTCAGTAATATACAAAGTTGATAACTGCAATTTAATAGGACAAATTCTAGTTAATAAGTGTTCCATTAAAAGTGTTTAAAACGTGTTGTTAAAAGTAATTTGATTTGTAAATTTGTAATATTTTTGACTAAATGGTAAAATGTGGTTAATGCATGTTTTAAACAAATTATTCCTTGGAGCAATATCCATTAATTTTGACACGTGCAATGATACCTTAAATTAGCATGTTGGTAAACAAATTTTCATGGAGACTTATTACTGACCTTGACTTAGCACCTGAGAAACTGTTCCAACGAGAGGGTGAAACTTGCTGAACAACCAAGATTTTTTGTCGCATGACACATGTAACTTCATATTAACACTCAGATGTATTTCAACAGACTGTCTTGCCTTCGTTTTGACTTTTGGGATACCGGAATCTTCGAAATCCATTCTAAATTACAAAATTGGGTTTTTTCACATAAAAGCTGGCTGGCATTTTAAGTTTTATAATAATAATAATTAAAAACACCATGAATGGCTTTGACTATATATTCGTAATCAAAATTGGTGACCCTACCGCTTAACTTTTCATTGATTTTTAGAAATCTACGAGATATTTATAGTTATTTTTAAAAATAACTAAGAAAATAAAAGAATTTTTAAAGATTTTTAATTTTGATATCTCAGCAATAATTTTTCAGACATCAATTTTGGAGGAAAAAATTATGGCATTTAATAAATGGATTAATCTAATTAATATAATAACTGACTGTCTGTAATGTTTCTTCCAGGTATGAGAGGAGTTGCCTTACTTGCCTCACACTGGAATACACCCATTTTTGGATGGGTGTCACAGGAAGAAGAATTTCAGGACAAAAAAATGTATTCCACCCTGGTACGATTTCTAGGACCCCTTAATCGGTTTCGTAAGTACAGAACTTCATTACATTTATGCTATGATTCCAACAGAATATTTATCCTTAATAGATAATAAAACATCAAACTTCACTTTTCCAACGCTTATGCATTCCTACATTGTAATGTGAATTACTGGGTGGTTAATCGATTAAGTCATTTAGTAATTATGATTTTCTTTTCTTTTCATCTTTTCTATTTGTAAACTTATCACTTGTTCGTCATCTCCAGAACTACTGTTTGTTTTATGCACAACTCAGCTTTCAATTTCTTTTCATACAGATTTTTCACTATATAAGAGTAAATCGATATATTTTGCCGATTCCCCGAAAATCGCCTTAAAAGGCTGATTCTCTGCATAGAGGTGCGTCAGTTTGAACTGATACACACGATGTGGAACACCTAGCAATTTCTTTTAATCATAGGAAAGGTTACTGTATGTTCCAAAACAATGATGAATTCAGTTGAAGTTACATATAAGGAGACGGGGTCAGATATATACTGGAAATAAGTAACTTCTTACTGTTACGTCAACATGGTAAATGTGCAGTGAGAGTTGGATCACATAAAAATTGTGTATTTATAAAAAAAAAAAAAAAAAAAAGAATAATGCTTGCAGATACCTGTATTCTACTGACTATTTATTCAAATGCAGCTCCCATCTAATGAATTTCCTTATATATTTTATCTGCATTCTGGGTAACTGATATTTCCATTGTGCACTTTATAACTGCACTAAATAAAAAATAGAATTGCAGTTACAAGTTTTAAAACTGGTCTCATTTTTGTATCGATATATTAAAACAGTTAAAGTATATTATTGAGGAAGTCACCAAGATTCCAATTCCTCTAGAGCATGCTTCCCCTCGGGAAATAGGCTTGCTCTAGAGGAACTTGCATTTTGTTGACTCCTTCAATGATATGCATTAACTGTTTAATAACAGTAAGTATTTATAAAGAGAAACTGTAGTGATTCTTTCTCGTGATTAAAGTTCTATCTGTAAATATAGTACCAAAACTTTTCTTAATAAAATATATTGATGAAAAATGTAGATAACGAATAGTATTCAAGCTCAAAGGCCATTAAAACAATACAAATCGGGAGCAGGGCAAACACAGACCTTCAAAACATCAGAGGTGGGATCATGTGCCTTGGAGGAGTGAGCATTCCCTGCCGACCGTTCACACCCGCTGTGTTCTCCTTGTCATGATCGGCAAATATACGGAAAAATTCGTAGACAATTCAGTGTGCAAATAATGGCCTAACAATTAGTATGAAAAATGTCAGTCAGCATTTGACTTAATGATAGGTTGTATTTTCTGACAAGGTATCGATCATAAAATTTACGAAATGATGACTTCAAATGAGACTGTTAATATCCTTGTTTCATGAACTTGGTTTTCAATAGCTTGCCTCCTTTTTAGAAATTGTTCATACTTAGAGCATGATCTTGTGTATCGAATCAACTGGGAGACAAAAACCCCATATGCAGGTGATACGGGTATGTTGCTACATAAGGAAGTTGACGATTGAAAAATTGAAGCCATCACGTTTTTCATAAAGCTTTGTTGTTAGGTTACCATTAATTTTTTTTTCTAGTAAAATATCCAAATATGAAACAGATGTATCAGACTCTGTGGTATCTTTTTATTTCAAGCTCATTGGGATATATCGTAAAAGACAAAGAAACTTAACCAAGGATCATTATTCTGTTTATTGCTGTTGTCATAGTTTCTACTCCAGGTGTTTTGTTATACGTACAATCCAACAGACCTCAAGTCTTGTTAGAGACTTCTAGTTGATTATATGAATCACATATCCATTGATTGATACATTAGTTAATTATGATTACAATTGTCAAAAAGCACAAGGTGTCACTTACTTAAAACGTGAAGAATGTGTCAAAATGTTGCCTCTTTGGTATTGTTTTTGCATTTGAAAGACTAAATAGAAGTGCAAGTTATAAAAAGGCTTTTTCAAAGTTCATTCGAAAGACCTTCATTGTTAATTACATCGTTCTGGATTTCGTAGGAAATCTATGTTTTATTCTTTAATTAAAAGACATCTTGATCTTTAGCATTCGATATTCTATCAACGATCTAGGATAGTTACCTACAGCAAGGCAAAATGAACTCAGCATTACTGCTACATTATATGTTTCTCAGACAAGTATCTCTCTTCCTTTCATGAAAATAAAAACATTTAGTTACAAAAACAGTTTATGTGAAAATAGATTTTTGAAAAGAAAAGAAAGAAAGAAAACTCGAAATATTTAATTTTACAAAAAACAGTTTGTATATGATTTATTATTGCTAGAACACATTTCTAAAAGAAGTTAGTATCTTTCTTGCATTTTCCGACGAATCTATTCTTTAACATTAAAATTAAAACTTAAAACAAAACATGAAAAACATGATTAATTGATAATCTTAAAGATCGCAGTTCATATAGACTTTCTGGATTTTGGCGAATGTCATGTATTTTTTATTTGACTTTTGATTAATTGAATTGTGTGATCACATGCCACGTCATCTGATGCTACGAGTGGATGGAAAACTTCGTTATTAATATGTCTTAAGCAGTAATAAAGCCTTAAAAACTGTTTTACAAATCACAATAACGCAAAACTAAGACGTTTACATAGCTAATGACTGTGTCAAGCACCCGGCACTAGAAGTGAAAGTCTCGGGTCTTTTCCATGAGACTTTAAAAACGTTCTAGGCGTTGGTACGGTAAAAATCCTTCACTGTTACGGCCGTAAGCGCCATGCACAAAAAAAATGTGGCACTTCACCTAAAGCATGACGTCTCTGTATAAGGGAAAAATTCTCTAATTGGACGTTAAGTTCCATGTATTCAATTTATCAGTTAGTCGAAAAAGTAACCCGAGGAAGAGTATAAATTGAAGGTCTTTTTGAAATAGTTTTGCTCTTTTTGTGCAAATTATATGCAGTTAAAACTAACGTTAGAATGGGACAAAAAACAAAAGGTTCATTTTTTTCTAGTCAACATGGAACTATTTATGAACATATGAAAAAATTACATTTTTTTATTCAGAGAATTTTATCCGTGAATTGCAGCCAAAGTTTGATACAGTACTCCGAGGCATTTTTTTAAAAGTTTTAACATTTTTCATTTTTCTCCAGCTGGTGTTATGTTCCATATGACGTCCCTCTTTAAATGGAATCAATTCGCTGTGATGTATGATGAACGGGATCCATATCGAGCCGTGGCATCTGCAATTTCTGAAAAAAAATCCATCGAAAATGACGAAGATGAAACAAAAAATTGGTACAGCATCATACGGTCCTTCAAGGTTTCCAATGATATGGAAGAGAAAGAGATAGAAGACATGTTTATTCAATTAAAACGATATTCAAGAAGTACGATTTTCTAATATTATTGCTCATATCTTACAAAAGGGTGATTCTGGCTTTTCGATTATCAACACTTGAACTTATTGCTGTTTAAATCAAAACTTATTACTTTGAAATAGAAGTGTTTTAATACTACATTTTGTACGAAAAAATAAATTTTTAGACTATTTAAAAAGGATTATTGATTCTTTGGAATATGAGAAGGGAGGTGTTATAAAAATTGTATACTAGTATATTAAATGGATTAATCTTAAATATCTATTTTGTAGTTATCGTAATGGCGTTACCCTGGTTAGACATGAGGAGATACATGCTTGTTGCACATAGACTAGGGATGACAAATGGAGAGTATGCTTTTCTCTGCATTCACGGCGATGTAAGTTAAATTACCGACCTGTACATTTTCAAATTTGTGGATAAATTTCTTTCTTTAAATTTCTTTTGTCATAGTAATCTTTAAGAATCGACCAATTAATTAAAACAAATTTAGGATGGAAATGATGTATACATTTATAATTTTCTGTCGCATGATTCGTGAACAAAAGTTGATTTTAATAAATTTTAAAAGTAGGTACAATTGACCTGATGTATGGTTGGCTAACGTTATCAATTGCAAGGAAAGTCTTTCAGTACATCAAATTGTTCATCGGATTAGACATGGATAGCTTCCACTTTATATTTGCGTATTAAATATGATTTTCGATTACTCTTTAGTTAAACTGTGTTCATAAAGCTATGATATGATATATTTCTAATTACAGCTCTACACATATGATAGAATGGAAACTGATGTGTTTTCTGACAGGGTTTGGAGAAGAAATGACTCGTTTGACGAGATAGCTAAACAGGCGTTTGAACCAGTATTGCATGTAAACATGCATTTATTTTTACTTCACTTTTTTAAGCAATTGTCTTTGAATTCTAATAAAATCATATATTAAGTTTTGGAGACAATATTAATTTCTTTGATCATTTCAGCTAACACAAAATTAAGTACTGTAAAATCCCTATTTTCGTGGAGGTTTAGTATTTGTTTTCGAGGTATGAAGAGATCCACATTTATATCCACCGCGAAATTTAAAATTTCAAATATATAACAACTTAGTACTTCTTCAACAACGAGATCAAATCTGACGAACCAGTACTTTTCCCCAAATCATGAAAATTTGACCCAAAGAGAATATGTGATTTTGCAGTATTCTATTCTTGTTATTTTGTTGTCTGAACAAGTTGTTTTCATGAAATGATATAATTTGGGATATTGAATAGATTATGATGAAACCCCTTGAGAAAAATAACTGGACACTTTTCAAAGCTGTTGCTGATGAGTATGGTGATAAAACGGATCCTAACTGGAATCTACCTATCGAGCACACTTCAGTAAGTACTATTATTCCAGGAAGTCGACAGAATCAGATTCATTTATTTAAACTATGCAACAATACTGGGTAAATTTAGCTTTTCATATTCTCGACAACAATGATATAAAAGTAACCAAAAGGAAAATTTAAATGCAGATATAAAGCACATCAGTATACCCATTAATTTTATTGCTCTCAAATTGTCCAAAATAAAATTTTATTTGTTACCTCATTTTATAGAAATTTCAAGAGTTGGGGGATTCTTTACCATATGTTGTAGTGTATCAAACATAATTTCTAAGGATTAAGTTGTAGATATGTTTAAGATACTTAAGATGTGCATACATATCTTACAAATATAATATACAAGTTAATGCAGAGTCCATATTTTCAGCCTGATGCCTATTCTCCTTATCTTTACGATGCAACTTTAATGTGGGCAATGTTAGCTGACAAAATCTTAAAACAGAATAAAAATCCAGATGATGGAGAATACATGTTTAAGATGGCAGCAACTTTAACAGAGGAAGGTATTTACATCTGTTTATTTTGAATCGCAATGGTAAATATTTTGTGTAAAGTAAACTTGCTGTTTGATATGGACTGAAGATAGTAAATATTATGAATTCTTCCAGAGGAAATTGATGGACTTACCGGAAGAGTTAACTTAGATGACAAGGGAGATAGAAATCTTGACTTTCAAGTTCTCGACATGTCTGAAAATGGTACATTCACTAGAATTATCACCATTAATTACCTCGGGAAAGGAATAAGAGAGGTGAATTTCGAGGTATGTACATTTTTTATGGTTTTATTTTCTATGCACTGAAAATATATAATACACTTTGACAATGCTACTGCTAGCATTTCTTGTGAACCCAACATCATCAAATAAGAAAATAATTTGTTATTAATATATTATTCTGTAGTATAATTCCAAGTCTACAGAAAATCTTTGCAATGGAAGATGTATCTAATCACAAAAAAGTATTAAAAAAAAAAAAAAAAAAAAAAAATTCAATTTTAATTATTATTCAAAAAGTAATTGATGAATATTTATCATCTTACTGCCTCATCAAATTTTAAAAAGGACAATTTTTGGAAATTAAATGTGATATAAATTATAAATATCTATTTATATTATTAATTACTACAATGACAAAACCAGAAAAGAAACAAAAAAGAAAACAAAAACAATAAAACAAAATAAAAAATAATTTGTTCAGATAATATGTATCTGGGAAAAAGATATTCAAATATATTTCAAGGGCTGCCATGACTTACAAATTAATTATTATGATTATTAGTTTTCAAATGTTCTTAAGTGTCACAATAAAAAATTCTATTCAAAGGGCAATAAGACAACAGACCAAGTCAGTCGATGGCCAAATGATAAAATTGGTGTCCACAACGCCCCTCCAGATGAACCTGAGTGTGGGTTTGACGGGAAGAAGTGTCCAGAGGAAAATGAACAACCAGGTAATTCCTAAATTATGAGGAATTATGCTACAATTAATTAGTATTGGACAAATGATTCACCATTCTAATGAGGACTGACACATTACATTAATAAACTCTTTCCCTTTGGATATTTTCCGAAAGAAAAAAAGATATCGATAATTCATTGATTGGTTTGTACCGATGATAATATGGACTTTAGGGGATATGTCTAAATCTGGCGAAGAGCTGGATAATTTATCATTGTAGCATCCATCTGTATTAGAAAGGGATATTCAAATGAGATGATTTATCATTCACCATTATGCTTATAACCATTTTTATCAACTTTAGAAGAAATAGGATACACTTACTTACACTGTACTTTGTTTTTATTTATAATATGTGCATCGTAGAGAATATTACAAATCAACTGCACTGATTAGATGTGCTTTTTAATAACTATTTCATTATCATCTGATATTTATGTAGATTAGTTAAAATTTTAAAGAACTTTTTTTATTTCCTTTGTGCAAAAAAAATATCGTTTGAAAGTACAGTATAATTTTTATTATGAATATCTGTTGACACCAATCTATATTCATGTTAACATACTTCAAACGCAGCTTCTCAAAATGTTGTGCTTCAAAAATAAAGTAAGGAAAAGTTATATAAAAGCCTATGGCTAGAAGGTTTGAATAAGTTGGAGGAGTCGGTTTTGTAGAAATACTTTACAAGAGCCTTCTCTGTGTATGTTAAGTCAAAGTTATATTAAATAAAATACATTTGTTTTATTTTCTATTATAATTAATTTTATTTGCAAATATTTCCCAAGTTTTATGTTATCTTTATATGTCTTATTATATGATAGTTGCTAAACGTAGTGAAAAATTTTATTTAGCATAGAATGGCATTGCTAAAAGCAAGGATCTTATATTGCCGACTTTTTAAAATTCATTTTAGATAATACGTTCATCATTGTGTTCTCCTCTGCTGCATCCGGATTTGTTATTGTCGTTGCAATTATCGTACACTGTGTTCTCAAGTAAGAGAAATTATAAAAGAATTTTCCATTTTTTAGTTAGTGCAGATTAATTTATGGAAGACCTAAAAAATCAAATTTCTTTCATTCAAATATATATACATTCAAAATATTGAAATAAAATAGGACATATATATTTGTACCTTTGGTTAATTAAGTTCCAGACTTGTTCACAATACTTGTATTTTACTGTCAAGATTAGTTTCTACCATATATACTCTTTGAAAAGGCGTTACAGAAGAATCAAGACATTGAAGAGTATGATTTGGCAGGTGCGATTTGAGGAAATTGACTTTGTTACCGCTTTGCTGACTGGCAGCGTTAGGGTTAGTGTTTATTTAATTTTTCTTTAAATTTTCCATTAATTATATTATTGTTTCCATCGATCAAATATCTTAATTTTTCTGTTTTAGCAATTGTTTCAAATATTAGTATACCAAATTGCTTTTAAGTGGAAGATTTATTTAAGTCACATATTAGTTAATGAAGTTGTTCAATAACCGAAGATGTATGGTATAAAGTGTTAATTTTATGTCTAAATTGATTTGCTATCTTGTTTTCTGAACAAAATATCGCATTATTAGGATTTGATCAGTTATCATATTTATTCACTTACATACCTTTCTTAATATTAAAAATTAAACTAGTAACTCCTGGTTTGAATTCTTCCTGCATTGTCTTATATTGTAATCAATGGATGTTGTTCTTACATAAGTCTAGCTTTAAAAACCTTGCAAGAAGAAAAGGAAGTGGGAACAAAAGGAAATCTCGTCCAAGCAGAACAGAGAGTCCGTTACAGAATGACTTAAAAGTTTCCCCTGATCATTCACCTGCTTTTCTTAGTAAACCGGAACAGGGTACAATGTTCGGTTCTGTAGCTTACATCAGAGGTGGGTAGTTTATATAAAAATTGGAAATATGCATATTTTAAGCTATCAAAGTATATGAATAGTTTCACCCCCCTTCACCTCAGACAATGGTTGGGATGAAGATTTTGCGTAAAAGTATAAGTTTTATATCTATATTGTACTATTTTCTTTTAAAGACAGTTTTTCTTATTTATATAATAAATATTGACTGTATAATTATGTAGATTTCTTTTTCTTTTAAAGGAAGCCTGGTGTCCGTCAAGCGATTGACACGAAGTAATGTAAACTTGACTAACATGCCAAAGCAAATATTGCAAGAGTTGAACAGGGTAAAGCATTGTTATTCAGTTTGGCTAATAGAAAAAATGTTTAGATGCTATGTACAACAAGGTTTATTACTCAAACAATTGTATTCTCTCGTTTATGAACTTGAACTGTATTTATTTAATAATTTGACAAAGATGTTTAATGTAATGCCGAAAGTATTTTCTATCGTTCAATTACATGTGGATAAAAAAAAGGTCCAAGCTTCCTATTAGAAGTTATTTTAGGATTATACTGTGAAACTATAATAACATTTAAGTTTTTTCAAGAAATTTTGTCCTCGAACAAATGTGTATTTTTGGAAATAAAAATGTGCTCCCATGAGGTACTGATTTCACAGTATGTCTGAATTCGAGAAAATGCTATGCAACACAACATCATTTCTCGTCCCTTTCAACGATTACTTAGTTATTTAATTTCAGAGGTCACTTTCCTGTATAATTGTCATCTTTATTATTTTAAATGTTCTAAATGAATTATAGTCCATAATTATTTCACTTCATACTTCGCCCTGAAGACAGAAAAGTTTTATAATAGTTGTCATCTTGGATCAAAATAAATTTTTAAGAAATGATTTGTTTACTCTAAATTTTGGAAATGGAGACGGTTTGACATTTCACTATTTGTTTATGTTTCAATAGCTAATGGAGCTGAAGCACCAGAACTGCTGTGCATTTGTGGGGGCATGTATTGACCCAGGTCGGATCCTTCTTTTGTGGGAATACTGTGTCAAAGGAAGTCTACAGGTTAGTGAGGCGAAAGGCAATATGCTTTGAATAAATGGATTACAATTTAGCATACAATTTTGAATAGAAAAAATATCAAATCACTGACTGCATATAAAATTAAGCAATGTAATTTTCTTGGCCATCATGTATTATGATATCATGACGTCATTAATTATGTGATCAATTCCATGTTATGCTCTATTTTTCAAAATTTCGAATATAGTATAGAGAACAACCTCTGATTTTTTTTTTTTTTTTTTTTAAAAACAAGTATCAATTGATGTTTTTTTTTTCATAATAACTTAATTTTCCTTTTAATCTGTTTTTGGATCAAAGGCCCGGGTCATATTTTAAATTCTTTCTTGGGTGTACTCAAATACAAGAGTTTTGTGTTAGATTCAAGAATACTGAAGTTCTTTGATATATAAGTGTTTGAACTGGGACATTCGGTGATAATTGTTCCATAGACATGTTATTTTACGCATAGAGTTGAAACAAACTCTTAGACGTGGAAGTAACTGTATCCTATCCAAATGCCCTTTGCACCCTTGGTAAAAATGCTACAGATAAGGGACTTTTTCCCCTTAAATATTTGATATCATTGATGTTAACTTGGTAATTAACATATCAATACATTAGTAAGCTTGTTTAAGAGCAAATGTCACAGTTCAGAACTTAGGTCAAATGTAAAAAATTATATTTTGTTGTTAATCCCCTTGATTTGTAAAAAAATAATAAATAACTTTAAGAAAAACTTTTGATTTTTGATGAAGTATAGGGCTTTATGTATATTAATTGGGTTGTTCGCAAAATTCGCAAAAATTTCCCCTCGCGAACATTTACACATTTAAAGTGTTAGCGTTAGGTAGCATTGATACATGGTGCTTTACCTACAATGATCGGGCCTTTTTCATTTTTCATTACGCGCGACCCATGAATACATAATTTTAATTATTTTACAGGATGTTATATGGAACCAGAATATCAAGCTGGACAGGATGTTTATGTTCGCATTGTCTCAAGATATTGCAAAGGTAACTTATGATTAACCTTGTGATGTAAAGTCTGCACTATTTTTCGAATCTCTAAAATCCTAGCAAAAAGATTTTTTCAATAATTCAAAGATTTTTTTATTTCAGGGATTAGACTTCATCCATAAGAGCTCCATACATTACCATGGGAATTTGAAAAGTTCAAATTGTGTTGTGGATAGCAGGTGGACTTGTAAACTTGGAGATTTTGGAGTGCCTAGTCTTCGTCATTGTGACAAATGTCAAAAGGAGGAAGAAAATCCAGACAGTAAGAGTTTAAAACTTTTAAATTACTGAAGAGCCACGGGGTCAAATGAAACTTTAAGAAATTAAAACATTATACTCAAGTTCTAATAATTGAAATTTACATTATTGTTTATTCCCAAAATAAATATTTACATACGCTATATTTACTTCATTAAAAACGTACTATTTTCACCAGAACTTCAATGGACAGCCCCAGAGATACTTCGATCAGAGAAATCAATTGACAAACAGAAGGCAGACATCTTCTCCCTCGGAGTGATCCTCAAAGAAATCTTTACTCGATCAGGGCCTTACACGGAGTATTCCTTTCTCAGAAGTAAAGGTACGTGTACTGTATAAAATACTTCTTTCAAAAATTGATTATCTACATGTAAATACAATATTCAGTATTTACTGGTATAAAGGTTTATGAAATAATAACATATATAATTATATGATACAATTATCACTATGTACTTTACAGAGATTATCGATAAAGTGAGAAGTCCAGATTGTGGGTCGCCACCCTTTCGTCCGAAACTTTCCGTGGAAGTTCGACAGACGCAGGATTTGTTCACATTAATTGAAGAGTGCTGGAATGAAAATATCATCATCAGACCCTCTGCTGGGCGAATTTTGAAAACCTTAGCCAGAATAAATCCATCCAAGTAATGTTTTAAAATTCAGTTTTCTTTGGCTTTCCATGAGTTTTGAAATCTTAGATTTTCTAACCCTTCTTATTATTACTGTCATTTACATCACTGGTTAACAAAATAATGAAAATAAACTCCAAATCTAAGCAGCTATTTGAATTTCAATTCTATTCAAATTAACATTATAAAGGAGCGTAAAAAATAGTACACATTTCTTCTTTGATAATAAAAAAAATGATTTCATGTCTGAACTCCTCAGGTTAAGTATTAATTTCTTTTTTATACATTACAATTTACAACTTCCTTTAAAGAAAACTTGGGCAAGGTTTTTTTTTTTTCATTTTGAAATGTTACAAAATCATTTTAAAGAAAATGCTTTCATGACTGTTTATCTTGTACATTAGGCCTAGCTTTGTTTCTATTGGTGGATAGGGAATGTTGTTGCTCCCAGTCCAGAGTCAGTCCTTCGCTATTTACGAAATATGCATAATTTTATTAAAATTTAAAATGAAATTGTTCTTCGTTCTAGGATGACGATGATAGACAATATGATAGCTATACTGGAGAAGCATGCAAACCATTTAGAAGAGTTGGTAGCGGAGAGAACGAGCGAACTGGATGCTGAGAAGAAAAAGACGGAAAATCTCCTGTATAGAATGCTACCACAGTAAGAACTAACACGTTTACATGAAATATCAAAAAATAATATCTTTTTCTATTACTATTATATGATATATTGAGCATAATGGCTAAATCTCACTAATTCTTGTAATTAGATCTGTAGCCGACGATTTAAAGAAAGGAAAACCGATAGAAGCGGAACATTTTGACGAGACTACAATTTACTTTTCTGATATTGTTGGATTTACAACAATATGTGCTGGTAGTACACCAATACAGGTAAATATCCCCTTGTTTTCTTTTTAACATTTCAGTTTTGAATGTGATGTACATGTGTATCTTATGTTGTAATTTTAAATGAATTTCAGGTCGTAAATTTGCTTAACAGCTTGTACACACTTTTTGATGACATCATCACAAGATACGATGTCTACAAGGTGAGGTTTATGCACTTACATAAAATATATTATATTGAACTTACATAAAATATATTATATTTTAAATAATATATTATCATGCATGTTATTATGTGGTTAGTGAATTTTACTAATTATAAACTATGATCTATAATTCATATAAATTTTAATAAGTAAATTACCAAATTAAGTATCTTCTTTGATTTTATTTTATTTAGACGACCTTTGAGTCTATTTAATTTTTTTTGAAAGAAGACGTAAAATTGTCTTAGAAACTAATGTTAAAAATACTTAATTTTAATTATTCGTATTTCATCATGCTAAGGCGTACATTATAAAGACCAAACTAGGCTATAATTTGTCTTAAGCATAAGTTCGTCCAACCATATCCAGGAATTTAGTATTATCTTTCTCAATGGATTATGATTAGCAATAAAACATATATAAAATATAACTCTGTATTACAGACTTCATTGAGTCAACAAAAAAGAGAGAAATGTGATGGTCAATAATAATTTTTTTCCCAACCTATGTTCATTTTAATAAATTATATCTATTTTTCTAGGTGGAAACTATTGGAGATGCTTACATGCTTGTAAGTGGCCTACCGAAACGTAATGGAAATAGACACTCCAAAGAAATCGCAGACTGTGCCATGGATATAATGGCTTCAATCGGTTCTTTCAGTATCCCACATCAACCGAATAACAAACTGAAAATTAGAATAGGTAATGAGCTTGTTCGAGTTTACATCTCATCATTTCTTCAGATAAGTACCGGTAATGGGAATTCTCTATTTTAATTAGTACTCTTTTTAATGCTTCGTTTCTGTATAGGAATCCACTCTGGTCCTGTTGTGGCAGGAGTTGTCGGTCTTGCTATGCCACGTTACTGTTTGTTTGGTGATACTGTTAACACTGCTTCCCGTATGGAGTCAACTGGTCTACGTGAGTAATACCTCTAAATTTCAGAGAAAAAACTTCATCAAGTAAATCGCAGAGAAACTCATTTTTGTTTGTATTTGTAGCATTAAAGATTCACATGAGTGCAGTAACTTATGATCAACTTGAAACGTTCGGATGTTACCACATCATGTATAGGGGTGAAACAACTGTGAAAGGAAAAGGAGTCATGAAAACTTACTTTCTAGTTGGAAAGGATGGTTTCTCAAAAGAACTACCATGTATTACTGAAGAAGAATTAACACTGAAATTTTCTCCATCTACCTCAAGTGATCTGCATTACATGGGAGTCGGTACAACTTCACCAGTGACACCCAAAACAAGTGTTACTACTATTAAAGAAAACGAGTTACAGATAAGTTGTGAAAAGGAAACTTGTCCATCGGAAGAGAGACGTCTTCCTCTTCCTCGGCGAGCCAGTATGATGGAGATTTCGGCTTTATGACGGTACGCCTCGGGCGCTGGGACTGTCTATGGTCTTAGTGCCCGAGCCTCGACCGTCGACGGGGTCTCGTCGAATAACATATCAAATAATCCAGAAAGGTTTCGGAAGACTGGTTTATCTTGCGTATCGCACAACAGCAAAGAGAAGGGAATGATAAACAAAAACAGCTGTAATGGAGAAACAAAGAGGAATATTTCTCTTTCACATCTTGATGCTGGTCAGATATGTGAAAATGACTCTAATGACTTTGATGCAAAGAAAAAACACAGCACTGGTAGCCAAACAGGGGATTCCGGAATAGGAAGCTTCCGAAGGACTACAAGCAATAGTAGCTCATTAACAGACGTAAATACGTCATTACAAAAACAAGCCAAGTGCAACAGACGTAAGGTTAGTGCAGGAGATGTTATGGATAATATCCATACATTTCAAAATCGGAACGGTGTAGGAAAACTTAAAATAAGAAAACTCAGTGCTGAGAGCTTCTTTGAAGGATATTGTCAAAACAGAAAAGCTCCGGAGACCGAAGACATACGATGCAGAAAATACAGTTTTGAAAACTTTTTCCGAGGATTACTGGGGAACAAAATTAAAGTTTCTAAGTCACAGTCAAACAATCTCTTAATAACTCATTCGGAAAAAAGTGAAGCAAATGAGACAAAAGAATTCTCTGTAAGCAATAATTGCTCTGTGCTCGAACAATGTCATGAAAACCTTGCGTTTGAAAGCAATGAAAATGATTTGCATAAACATGACGAAGCAGCAGTCCAAGAAATACTGAATGAACTTCATGAAATGGCTTCAGATCCGAAAAATCTTACATCTGATGTCTCAAGGGCAGAAAAACTGACACTTCCTTTGAAAAATGGATTTCCTCGCCATAGGGTTTTGGCTAAGTCAGACTCGGGGTATGGGACAACGGAAAACCTGAGCATCACAAGTGCCACAACATTTCTGTGATAATATTTTGTATTACTACGCTTATTGTCTCATGTCATTATAATATGGAAAGATATCATTGATATTCATTTTTGTTGTCGATTTTAAAATCTTCTTTTTTTGTATTAAATTGTGCCAAAAATATGCTCTGAAATGCAATCTCATGATTCAAGTTTTTAATGAAATAAAACATGCTAATCGTTGCTTATTTTCAGAGATTTCATAGAAATAGGAAATGAATAGTTTTTAAACAAAGATTTCTACTTGTTTTAAGTCAGGTAGGTATTAAGCATTAAAATTACCCTTACTTTGACTTTCATTTTTATGAAAACGTTTGATACTTTTTATTTGGAATGAATAAGGCTTAAACTCACATTCCGGTTATCGTTGAAAGTGTGAAGCGGGCTTGAATTCATAAATCAATAATAATGTTCAATTTGCAGATGAAACAGCGAATACTAATCATTCAAAATTTAGATGTACATGTCCTCATTTTGAATTTTAAAAATATAGAATACCATCGTGATCAAAACATAGATTAATAACAAACAAGATGTGTTTGTGAAACACTGATGCCCCCTTATGGCAGCTTATAGCGAAGGTTAAAGTTTCTTCAAATGCAAGTCAAAATCCAGGCCAAAAGATAAAAAATGTTGATACCCAAAGAAAGGTCTTGTCTCAAGGAATACACCTGTGTAATTTGAAAGACCTAGATACAACTGTTCAAAAGTTATGGCAAAGGTTAAAGTTTTTTAAATAAAAGTCAAACGTCAAGGTCAAAGTGGTTGGTATCCAAAGGAAGATTTTGTCACAAGGATTACATATGTAAATTATGAAAGCCTTAGCATCAACCATTCAAAAGTTATGGCCAAGGTTAAAGTTTTTCAAAAGTAGGTCAAACTCCTAGGTCAAGGTCAAAAGGTCAAAGTGGTGGTTGGTATCCAAAGGAAGGTCTTGTCACAAGGATTACATACGTGAGGTATGAAAGCCCTAGCTCCAACCATTCAAAAGTTATGGCCAAGGTTAAAGTTTTTCAAAAGTAGGTCAAGGTCAAAGGGTCAAAGTGGTTGATATCCAGAGGAAGGTCTTGTCACAAAGAATACACATGTGAAGTTTGAAACCCTGAGCACCAACTGTTCAAAAGTTATGGCCAAGGTTAAAGTTTTTCAAAAGTAGGTCAAACTCTTAGGTCAAGGTCGAAGGGTCAAAGTTGTTGGTATCCAAAGGAAGGTCTTGTCACAAGGATTACATACGTGAAGTATGAAAGCCCTAGCTCCAACCATTCAAAAGTTATGGCCAAGGTTAAAGTTTTTCAAAAGTAGGTCAAGGTCAAAGGGTCAACGTGGTTGATATCCAGAGGAAGGTCTTGTCACAAAGAATACACTTGTGAAGTTTGAAAACCTGAGCACCAACTGTTCAAAAGTTATGGCCAAGGTTAAAGTTTTTCAAAAGTAGGTCAAACTCTTAGGTCAAGGTCGAAGGGTCAAAGTGGTTGGTATCCAAAGGAAGGTCTTGTCACAATGATTACATATGTGAATTATGAAAGCCCTAGCATCAACCATTCAAAAGTTATGGCCAAGGTTAAAGTTTTTCAAAAGTAGGTCAAACTCCAAGGTCAAAAGGTCAAAGTGGTGGTTGGTATCCAAAGGAAGGCCTTGTCGCAAGGATTACATATGTGAAGTATGAAAGCCCTAGCTCCAACCATTCAAAAGTTATGGCCAAGGTTAAAGTTTTTCAAAAGTAGGTCAAACTCCTAGGTCAAGGTCAAAGGGTCAAAGTGGTTGATATCCAGAGGAAGGTCTTGTCACAAGGAATACACATGTGAAGTTTGAAACCCTAAGCACCAACTGTTCAAAACTTATGGCCAAGGTTAAAGTTTTTCAAAAGTAGGTCAAAGTCCAAGGTCAAGGTCAAAAGGTAAAAGTTGTTGGTATGCAAAGGAAGGCCTTGTCACAAAGAATACACAAGTGAAGCTTGAAACCCCAAGCACCAAATGTTCAGAAGTTATGGCCAAGGTTAAAGTCTCATAAAATTTTGCAAAAGTGGGTCAAACTCCAAGGTCAAGGTCATAAGGTCAAATATGATGGTACCCAAAGAAAGGTCTTGTCACAAGGAATACACATGTGAAATATGAAAGTCATAGCTCTAACCAATCAAAAGTTATGGGCAAGGTTAAAGTTGACAACAGACAGACAGACAAACAGACAAACAAACAGACAAACGGACAAACAGACAAACAGACAGACAGGACAAAAACAATATACCCCCGGGATCTTTCGATCTGGGGGCATAAAAAGGGTTATAAGTTATGCTGTTTTTTTTTTAAATTGAATAACTCCAATGCATTTGCCACCACTTAAAGTAACAATTACTTCAGTAATTTATCCATTCACTGTTACATGTATGAGGCATCTTATTAAAGTATTACAGACCTCCCCCCCCCCCCCCCCCCCCAAGTTATTTATGACAAACACAAAACATACAACCTTCTGATTAACCCCATCCCACCCTTCATAGAAGATATGAATAATCCATTTATTTATTTTAGATGTAATTTCGAAATTTGATTAAATCAGAGTATTCAACAAAACTTTATTATCTTTACATATTTCCTGGCTTAAGAGGTTTTTTTCTTCTCTCTCTCTCTCTCTCTCTCAATGAGCTATTTTAGATTTTCACCACTCGAAAATTTGCACTTGAGTATTTCAGCATCTGTCCTTAACCGAACACCCCTTTCCTACACTTTTTCATACAAATCCTTCATACTAGTAATTATATTTTTTTAATTGAGAATTATAAAAACATTATTCGACTTTACCACATAATATATGCATATTAATATAAAGTGAATCAAATTTCTTTTAATATACAAAGTCTCTCTCGACTTCATATCATACTAATGATGCTCTAACACTTACCATTTTAACTTTCAAGACTTCATGTTACATGTCCTTGTCGAAATTAATGCATTGTTGGCAAATGGCTGCTGTTGACTGTATTTCTTGTAAATACTAAACATCCTCTTTTTTACACCGAAATATTTCAGCATGGAATCATGGTTGATGCTGGAGAGTGCTGCGCATACATATCATCCAGGCGATGTTCCGATGACTTTTCTTTGTAATACACGATAAAAACAGCGGCTTTGAAAAAAACAAAACAAACAGTATTAATGTTTTGAAGAAAACAATACCGTACCTGTAGTTTTTGCTTATGTTTCTTTCTGCCTAAAACTCCATTGAGCTTTATCTATTTGGGGTAAAATTTTACACACATCCTGCAATTTGAGATCAACACATAACTTTACATTTTATTCTTCTTCGTTAAATTTGTTTGTAATATACATGCTTATATTAAGATAAAGTAAGAAAAATCAATATAATTAGCAGCTTTATTACAAATTTGTTTAAAACTTACCTCCTGTTTCTAAAAGATACTGAACAGTCCTCCTCCTAAGCCCATGGTCATCACGTTCCAGTATTATATTTCCTTCTTTGAAATCAACGTAAACAAAAAAAATCTGTATCAAATAAAATCCCAGAATAAGAACAAATAGGTCATGGAATTTGTTTTATGAATGTCGATGTACACATCTATCAACAGAGTCAATTACATATATATGTAATACCTTTGATGGTGGAATCAAATCCTTCAGACTGTAGCTATGATTTATTTTATCAGTAACTTTCTTAATTTGTAGTTTAGCTGTTTATTCACTAGAATTTGTGATTTGTTTTGTCATTGGTAGATGGTATTCTCTGCTAGATTGTTCATTAAAGCTTATGATGCATAGAGAATCTTCGAGATTTAGATACTTCTGTCTTTTGAACTGCAATGGATGAAAATATAATTTTAGTATTGTTTGAGGGTTTTTCATCTTGTAGGTAAATAATGGGGAAAATGTTAAGGGAATAAAATTTTTGACCGCACCCCTGTTACAAGGTCTTTGTTAAATTATTTTCTCTCCATGAAACTTCCCACAAGAGGCATTGGTTACAGACATATACAATTGCAAGTAAATGAATTAATACTGCAGTATATTAAATGATGTGCGAGCGCTTTTAGTTACTACTTACTACTGTTTGCTGGATTCTGATTTTCGGCCTTGTGTCTTGTAAATCAAGCTTTAGTAAAGAAGGATCCAGTAGACGTCCTTTACGATAGCAGAAACAGTACCAACAGCAAAAGCAACTGCAGATACAACTAATAACAATAAAACTGTTCATTGGAGATGACTGTTACACATGTAAATTCAGGACAAATACAACTGCAAATACATAGAGTCAAAACGTTGTTAAAATAGTATATAATACAACACATGTATCATTTGCTTGGATACATCTCGTACATTCATACATGAGTTTGGTTACGTACAACACGTCCACAACTTCTCATTGCCTGTATTCTCGTTGCACATGTCTTCCACTTTTCTTCCTCTCTCCTCTTTAGACCAAGTTTCTGTGTTTTCTGTTCTAGTGTACTTAGACTGTGTTTCGTACGTTATTGTCTCAGACTCCTTTTCGTCTTCTAAAACATCAGGTTTTTCGTCCCGTAATTGTTGATAGGTCGTTGATTTTGCATCCTCTATATCTCCTAATTGTTGATCTCCCCGATCTGTCTTCTCTTGAACTACTTGTATTATCGATAGAATGTTTTCTACTTTTGTTGACTTAGGTCTTTCATGCAAATTATTAAGCCACTGTTTTATACCGATTTCTCCGTTTACCCAATCATGACAAACGGCACTCAGCGGGTGTGATCAGGAGACCAACAATTTTGATTCGTTATAAACATTATTCGTTATATAGGTTCAGTTCTGTTATTATGTTCCCCAAACGGAGTTTGGGAACATATTGTTTTTACTCGGTTTCTTATTATTATTATTATTATGTTCCCCAAACGGAGTTTGGGAACATATTGTTTTTACTCTGTTTCTTATTATTATTATTATTATTATTATTATTCTTTTTTCTTCTTATTTCTTCTCCGGTACTTTTTTGTCCGCGAGTGTTCTCGGTAACTGCTCATCCAATTGAGTTAAAACCTTTTTAGGGTTAATAGGCATGTTATGTAGATTTGCGGAACAAAGGTCATTTTGCGCGCACGTGCATGCACGTGCGTGCGCGTGCAATGGGTAAAATGACCAATATACTTGATATAGCTGTAATTTTTTATATTTTTTGG